ACCCCTGGACTAGACAGACCTTTGGTTTAATTCTACAGGGCTTTTCCTGGGACAGCTGGGTAATCTGCCACTGTAGTCTTTAATTTGCCACCACTCTCTTCACAGTTGCTCTCAATTTAAGAAGAGCTGCCCTAGGGCTGGACTGTATCCCTTCACAGGGTCAGCTATCCAAGCAGCTATAGCAGAAGCAGTGCTAAAATTGAGAGTTGATTCCCTGCCCCACAGCAGTGGTTCTACTCGCTGCCCCTGGGTTCTCCTTTTTTTTCCTTACAATCTATCATAGATGGTATTACACATAAAGAAATATTTATACAGTACTATGTTTGAAATAGAATGGTGCTGTAATTAGTGGTTGCTTTGCAGATGGTTCATCAAAGTGGAACTGTAAGGAAGGGGCAGGGACTCAGTCTATGAGCCCTTTGGTCTGTACCAATGGAATTTATTTAATGTTGACTTACCAATTCCCCATTGTTGTTATGTTCCTTCAGGTTCACTCCAGGTTTATGATGACCATATCTTTGTTGTTGTCGTCAACTGCCCTTGAGTCAACCTTGACTTATGGAGACCCTGTGGATGAGGCATTTCCAAGACTCCCTTGTCTTCTACTGCTCTGCTTAAGTTTTGCAGATTCATGCCCATGACATTCCTAATTGAATTTAGCCATCTTGGGTGTGGTCTTCCTCCCTTTCTTCTACCTTGAACCTTTCCCAGAATTATTGTCTTTTCTAATGATCCATACTTTCTCATGATGTGGCGAAAGTACGACAGCCTCAATTTGGTCATATTGCCTTCTAGGGGTATTTCAGACTTGATCTGTTTTAGAACCCAATTGTTTGTCTTTTTTGCTGTCTACAGTATTCTCAGCACTTTTCTCCAACACCATATCTCAAATGAATTGATTCTTTTTATCCACTTTTTTCACTCTCTAGCTCTCACATCCACACATGGTAATGGGAAAACAATGGCTTGTACGATTCTGACTTTAGTGCTTAGTTATATATCTGTACTCTTTAGGATCTTTTCTAGCTCTTTTGTGGCTGCCCTTCCTATTTCTAGTCTTCTTATTTCTTGACTGCAGTCTCTGTCCAAACAATGTTTGATCTTGAGTATGAGAAATTCTTAACTCTTTCAGTTTTCTTATTGTCTAATTTGAATTTATACAGGTCCTCCATGGTCATTATTTTTGTTTTATGTTCAGCAGCAAGGCTGCCTTTGCACTTTCTTCCTTAAACCTTTTTCAGTTCTAAGACCATAATGTTTTCTGCTAGTAATATCGTGTCATCTGTATATCTTAGACTGTTGGTGTTCCTTCCTCCTTCTTCTAACCCTATTTTTCCTCTTTGTATTATTTTTTCTGTGTACAAGTTGAACAAGTATGGGGATAATATGAAGCCTTGTCTGACTCCTTTACCAACTGCGAACCATTCAACTTCTCTGTATTCTATTCTGACAGTGGCCTCTTGTCCTGAGTATAGCTTTCTCAACAGAACCATCAAGTGCATTGGCATTCCTATGTATTTTACTAAGTAAGTAATAACTTTATTGTTAAAAACTAAAAGCCGTAACTATTTGGTACAGATCAAACCAATGAATACAAAAATATATGAAAACAGGGCACAACATTTATAAGAATTTATAAAGGAACCATAAATAAGATACGATAATAATGATAAAAACACATGACAAGTGAGACTTCTAATTCTTACCCACAGCTTGATAACTAAACCTAATCTTGCTGGCAGCTAAACCAAATTTTGCTACCATGGAGGTAATGTATACATAATTACCAGCCAAAAGAATATCGATTTGCTGGGTCCCATGTGTTTTAAAGCATTCCATAGCTTTTCATGGTCAATGCAATCAAAGGCTTTGCTATAGTCTATAAATCATATACTGATTTTCTTTTGGAATTGGTGCACTCCATCAGCCATCATATGTTTGCAATGCAGTGTGGATCTTTGTTGTTGTTGCAAACTCTATTCAAAGAAGATTTGCCTTTGCCTACCCTTGAGGCTGAGAGAGTGTGACTTGCCCAAGATCATCCAGTGGGTTTCCATGGCTGAGTGGGAATTCAAACCCTGGTTTTCCAGAATCCTAGCTAAAACCATTACACTATGCTGCCCCCTGAGCAATAAAGTGCTCAAACTGAAAAGCCATGGCAAATAATCTGTAGCTTTGCAGGGTAGGGGCATTCTATTGGCATCTCCTGTCATCCGTTCTTTACTGGGTTGAAAATCTGCAACATCATCCTCCAGCCATCTGCAGTAGTGATGCTGCAGTGCAGCAAAGACCAAGGCAGTAATTCCTATTGTTTACTAGCTTCCATAACCAGGAGTAACACTGTAGTTTGTTACCAATATCCTTTGTTTGATACCTCCATCACCTTACCGACAATATACACAGAATGTATATTACATTCTTCTACATATATTTTAAAGAGGAAAATAAGACACAGTGTAATGTCTGCATAAAACACTGTATTGCTCTTCTAACAGGCTAATTTCACTGTGTCCCAAAATGGCAGTTCCCAGAATTGATTTTTTTTTTAAAAAAGGATGATTAATTTTTCTAACCTGTCTGTTCAATAAATAAGATTAGTTCTTTTGTTCAGTTGCATATTTTATTCACAGTCGCTAAATGCATATTGGAAAGCTGTGCCAAAGGCATAGGGTTTGTGTTTAAGAAATCAAAGAGTGTGAACTTTTTGCTTATTGTGTAATGATCTGTGTGGTATGCTTAGGAGCGTGTCTTCTGTCCCTTTCATGGAATGGAAAGTGTAGTGTGGAAAAGGTAATACATCATATCTCTGGAAAAGCAATGAATTTAAATAAGAGCTGCATTGATTTGTTTTTTTTCTTTACAGACTCCTTAATGGATCTGTAGTAATGAGATTTATTGCAAATTGATTAACTTTGTAGCTCTAATTGTGTCCTCAGCTTTGGAAAAAGTGAAACTGTAAGGGTTTAGTCAAGGGGGGGGAACCCAGCTGTTGCATTATTTCCCTGAAGAATCTAATCAAACTCATATAAACATTGCACAGGATTTTTCCATTGTGGGCACTTTCTCTTTTCATTTTCCTGATTTTTCAGCCCATGTGATGATGACTCATGATGTCTTTTTCTCTACTAATATTAATTGTCATGGAGGGTGACGTAGTAAAAGGGCAATGGTTCCCAATCTTTTCTCTGCCTCTCACAAATGGATTGCCAGAAAATGGGACCATAGATGCCCATTTTGCATTTCTCTTTTCTTTAGTCTGGTAGCTGGGTGACATTT